AGTTTGGTTGGGTTTGGGATACTAAGACAGATAACATGAAATCTCGAAAGGAATTGCCCAAAACAACTAAGATAATAAGGGGTCAGAATACAAGTAGGTATTCCTGATATGTGCAGTGTATTTAGCTGATACAATTTGATTCACCACAAATGATGATACTGTAGTATAACAATGCTATACTTACAACTAAATGTAGAAAATGAACATGAAACAAAAAAATACTCCGCTTCATGGCCACAAAATTCCTCCATAGTAAGTTTGCAAACTGTGTACACCAATCTGTGTTGTAACTGTAAGAAAAAAAACACTATTCACACAACTGACATATTTGTAAAATCAGAATATATCATACAACAGAATTATAATAAGTCATTGAGAAGACAGATATGACAAACTTTATGCAAAATTGAAAAAAAAAAAAACAGCAAGCCATATCTTATATACTGGTAGGTGTAATGATCAAGACCTAAGTTCATGTTCAGAATTCTAAATTAAAAGTAAACAAGTCATAGTCCCAGTTTGTATTACAGGTGAGAGATTGATATATGACCTTGGTGTTTGATGTATGTATGAAGTTTAAACTTCATTGGTCCAAGATTTCTGGCTCTGTGGAACTTCATTCATTTAAACACGATGACCATCAGTCAATCTGATTAAAATCTGATGTAGTGTACGGGCTTTAATTATTTTGGCTATAAAGTTATTTTAATTTTATTTTTTATTACTTTTGTTATTAATGCCCTTTTATTTTATTTTATTTTACTTTGATTTTGTGATTTTTTTTAAATTCCGCCCTACCTACATCTGATCCAACGCCTATGTAAGTCCCGTTCAAATTTGAAAAAAAATTTGTTTTAAAGATTACGATATTGTACAATTAGTTATACGAGTCTATGCCATTTCATACAACTACAGATGAACATATAAACTTAAGTTCATGTACTTACTATTTTATTTTCTGAAGTCTATCCTGTAAAACAAACAAAGAATATACTGTAGAATACTTTATTTTCGCTTGGAATTTATTTTCGCTATTTTCGCTGAAGGGATGATTCCGTGAAAATAAAATCCAGCGAATATACTTTTTTTCCTATATTTCACATTAAACTCATCAAAAATCAGTGAAAATAAATTCCAAGCAAACGCCCAAAAAGCTTTTTCAGCGAAAATTAA